AGCGGCGGCTGCGGTGGCCGCGCGAGCAAAGTGCCGCTGGCGCCAGCAGGGGGCGCCCTGCAACACAGTCGTTCCATGTCCATGCCCGTGGCGCACTCGCCCCCGGCCGCCACCAGCCCCGGCAGCCTGTCGTCCAGCAGCGGGCACGGCTCGGGCTCCTACCCACCCCCTCCAGGCCCACACCCTCACCTGCCGCATCCACTGCACCACCCCCCAGGCCAGCGACCCTCCAGCGGCAGCGCCTCCGCCTCGGGCTCCCCCAGCGACCCTGGCTTCATGTCCCTGGATGAGTATGGCTCCAGCCCTGGCGACCTGAGAGCCTTCTGCAGCCACAGGAGCAACACGCCCGAGTCCATCGCGGAGACGCCCCCGGCCAGGGACGGCAGCGGAGGCGAGCTCTATGGGTACATGACCATGGACAGGCCTCTGAGCCACTGTGGCCGCCCCTACCGCAGGGTCTCAGGGGACGGCGCCCAGGACTTGGACAGAGGGCTGAGGAAGAGGACTTACTCTCTGACCACACCTGCCCGGCAGCGGCCAGTCCCCCAGCCCTCCTCCGCCTCCCTGGATGAATATACCCTGATGCGGGCCACCTTCTCTGGCAGCTCAGGCCGTCTCTGCCCCACCTGCCCCGCATCCTCTCCCAAAGTGACCTACCACCCCTATCCAGAAGACTACGGGGACATCGAGATTGGATCCCACAGGAGCTCCAGCAGTAACCTGGGGACTGATGACGGCTACATGCCCATGACCCCTGGTGTGGCCCTCATGGGTGGTGGCAGCGGCAGCTGCAAGAGCGACGACTACATGCCCATGAGCCCCACCAGCGTGTCTGCCCCGAAGCAGATCCTGCAGCCCAGAGCTGCCGCCGCAGCCTTGCCCCCGACAGGAGCGTCAGTGCCCGCGCCCATCTCTGCAGCCGGCAGGACCTTTCCAGTGAACGGCGGCGGCTACAAGACCAGCTCTCCGGCGGAGAGCTCCCCCGAGGACAGTGGCTACATGCGCATGTGGTGTGGCTCCAAGCTGTCCGTGGAGAATGCCGACAGCAAGCTGCTTCCCAACGGGGACTACCTCAACATGTCCCCCAGCGACGCGGGCGCCACCGGTACCCCTCCTGACTTCTTCTCAGCAGCCTTGCACGGTGCGGGGGATATGCTCAAAGGCGTCCCTGGCTACTGCTACAGCTCTTTGCCCCGCTCTTACAAGGCCCCCTACTCCTGCAGTGGGGACAATGACCAGTACGTGCTCATGAGCTCCCCCGTGGGGCGGATCCTGGAAGAGGAGAGGCTGGAGCCGCAGGCCCCCACGGGGACCACCCAGTCGGCCAGCGCCTTTGGGGCCGCCGGGGGTGGCCACACCCAGCCTCATCACCCAGTGGTGCCTTCACCGGTGAGGCCAAGTGGCAGTGGTGGTGGCGGCCGCCCAGAAGGCTTCCTGACCCAGCGCTGTCGGGCGGTGCGGCCCACGCGCCTGTCCCTCGAGGGGCTGCAGACCCTGCCCAGCATGCACGAGTACCCTCTGCCCGCAGAGCCCAAGAGCCCTGGCGAGTACATCAACATCGACTTCAGCGAGGCAGGGGCCCGCCTGTCACCGCATGCCCCTCCGCTGCTCGCATCGGCCGCCTCGTCGTCCTCGCTGCTGTCGGCCGGTAGCCCAGCCTCGTCCCTGGGCTCGGGCACCCCGGGCACCAGCAGTGACAGCCGGCAGCGCTCCCCGCTTTCCGACTATATGAACCTCGACTTCAGCTCGCCCAAGTCACCCAAGTCGGGCACCCAGAGCGGGGACCCCGTGGGCTCCTTGGATGCCCTCCTCTCCCCTGAGGTCACCTCCCCGTGCCCGCCACTGCCCCCGCGTCCTTCCGCCTCGCCCTCCTCCTCTCTGCAGCCGCAGCCCCCGCCCGCGCCACCCCCAGGGGAGCTGTACCGCCTGACTCTAGCGTCAGCCTCTGCCGCCTCCCAGGGCCCAAGCGCTGCCTCCTCGTCGTCCTCTGAGCCTGGAGACAATGGTGACTACACCGAGATGGCCTTTGGCGTGGCTGCCCCCCCGCCACAACCCATTGTGGCACCCCCAAAGCTGGAAGGCGCCCGAGTGAGCAGCGCGACGTCAGGCG